TTTTTTTTTTTTTTTTTTTTTTTTTTTTTTTTTTCGTTTTATTTATTTTTTTTTTTTTATGCACATATTTATTTATGTTACATTGTAACCGTGTGTTTGTTCCATGGTTCCCAATGTCCGCACCTCAAAATGGGACGAAAACTGGTCATACCATTTTTTAACACAATGTGATTACAAAGTTTGTATAAATAAAATAAGGCAAAAAAAATAAACCCTTTTTTTTTCTTCTTCAACTTGTTTTTTTTTTCTTCTTGTTCCTTCTTTGTGTCTCTTTTTCGTGGGAGATTGTGGTATAATGGGGTTTTTGTTCTTTTGAGTTCCCCCTGTCGCACTGTCACACTTAACCACCGAAACCATATAATGTTCTGCCTTGTCTTTTCAACGAGTACACAATGTCCATAGCAGTGACAGTCTTTCTCTTTGCGTGTTCAGTGTACATGATGGAATCTTTAATTACGTTTTCTAGGAAGACTTTTAATACTCCTCTGATTTCTTCGTATATCAAACCGGAGATACGCTTCACACCACCTCTTCTGGCCAAACGTCTGATGGCTGGTTTGGTGATACCTTGAATGTTATCTCTTAAAATCTTTCTGTGCCTCTTGGCTCCTCCCTTTCCCAATCCTTTGCCTCCCTTTCCTCTTCCTGACATTTTCGCTTAAATTATTTTATATAAAAGAAAAAAAAAAAAAAAGGGGAAGTTGAAAAAAAAGGAAAAAAAAAAAAAAAAACTAAAAATTTTGTTAATTTGTTGAATGTAAAAAAAAAAAACAAAAGAATGTATATAAATGTATGATTTATATTTAATTTATATATATATGGAATATATAATTTTTTTTTTTTTTTTAATTTTTTCGAGATTTATTTTAAAAAAAAGAAAAAAAAAAAAAAAATTATATGAACAGTTCGAATTTTTTTAATTATTTTAAAAATTTCATGTTCACCCGCATTCGTGTTTTAATTTTTGATTTTTTTCATTACATATATATATATATATATTATATATATATTATATATATATTATATATTTATATATAATTTATTTGGGGATCCGATCGGCGCGCTAAAATTGGCTCATTTTTAAAAAAATCGGCTCCGTCAATATTTGGTCATCACCCGGCGCATAAGTTTTGAGATTTTGTTTTTTTCGTTACGTGTTAATTATCGATGTGTTACGGTTCCCCGTCACGTTTTGATTTGATTTGATTTGATATGATTTTTTTTTTTTTTTTTTTTTTTTTTTTTTTTCCATGTGTATATATTTCTTCAGCTTGTTGCGCGTATATGCAAGCGTGTTCGCTCTGGCCGCTGCGTCCACGCAGCTCGTATTTCCTTTTTTTTTTTTTTTATAAAATCATTTTTGAGTCGAAACGGATGCGCTGCTCATAATTTATACATAAGTGTACGTACATGGTGTGTTCATACATTTCGCGTCCACGCGTCATATATGCATACATATGTATATATATATTTATGTCTCCTTTTTTATATATAAAAATGCTTCCTGCGCCAGGAAAAAATATACAGGTTTTTAATTGCATTCGCAGCGCGCATCGCTCGCACATACGTGTGTTCATATTCTTATATATAAAAACTATATACTGTACCCATACCCATATGCATAAAGTTTTATGCACACCCCCCTGCCATCCCATGTGCACGGGGCGAACAAAAAATGCTATGGATTCTCATTTATGCAGCGCGGCATATCATCATAAAAAAGTAAGTGCATATAATATTATACATTTTATATTTATGTTTGCATACCGAGTTGGACGGACAATGGGTCATCCGCGCCATTATTTGGACATGGGCGGCACGGCGGTTCGCGTCATGTAACATATACTAATAAATATGTACGCACATATAGGCAATATAAATACTACGTACTTCTCGCTTCGAGTCGTGCATGTATTATACCCTCACAGTTCTAGTTCACGAAAATACATTTCGACATGAGTAAACACAAACTGCCTCCAATACGTGTAAGTGCATGCTTTGCTGCAAAATTATTTGTGCCAAAAGTGTTAAAGGGCGCCCGCGTCGTGTGGCTAGTGCCCCGACAAGAGGGAAAGTCATTCAGAAGCACTTTTAACGTACATTTCAACCAAGGAGGGATCTCTCTCACCTTCGTCATTTCGTGCACGTAGCATTCATAACTCTGTAGTTCTCCCCCTGTGGTGACATTTTGTTGTCATTCCACGCGCGCTGGCCAAGGTAATATGGTGTGCCCGAATTATGCGTCCTCTTTTAACTGGCCCCATTTTTGCGCTGCAGTTGAGGAAGCACACCAATAATTTCCCCTTGTCCGGGGGCTCAATGAACCAATTGTGCCCATTTAAAAAAAAGTGAAAAAAAAAAGGATAAATCGAGAACTGTTTTAATGTCATTTCAATGTGATGCGAATTTGTCACACCACAAATGGTACACGTTCATCGGGGCAGGATAGCACCACTTTAAAATGTTCCTAATTTTGAAGAGGCAGCGAATGCGGGTGAACTGTACAGAGGTAGCATATTTTAGTAGCAGACGCTTTTCCCTTGTGTACCACCCTCTTTATAACATCGTTGCCTATGCGTGGTTTGGGTTCACAATTCTAAACAAATCATTTCGGTGGCGCTAGGGGTTCCATCCTTGTGCACGTTCATATGATGTGTGGTGTGTTTACAATCCCAAATTTACTTGTGTATGTGGGTCTGTCGCCCTATGCGCATTTGCCACCATTTATACTATCTGAGGCCGTGTGCGTCACAACCTTGCAATCTGATAACGTGCACCGAGAACACATGTTAAGCAGACAAAATTGGAACATTGTTCAAGTGAAACACGGTATGTACCACTCTCCATTTAAATGTAGTGAATGTGTGCCGTGCCATATTTGTACGCATTTGTAGGTGTGTCTTCCCCGGAAAAAAAAACACACTTAATGCTGGTTTTCCTACGGAGGGGTTCTTTGTTTTTGCCACAAATATTCCCACATTTGTTTGTGCGAACGTAGTTTTATCTGTCACTCTCGTTAATTCCTGCCAAATGAAATGGTATCAATCACTTGGAAGGAGGAAAAACAGTCTTACACATTTATATAATCTTACATCAGGGTGGAACGCGAACAGAAAGACGAAATTACGTACGATCGAACGATTGTTCATTGATGTAGTACGCCCCTTAACGATAGGCCACTGCAACAATTAGGCGAGGACGTTCTCGTCAAAACATAACAATGAGCGATTGAAAAGACTCCCAAAAGGGGATTGCAGTAAAAAGTTCCTGAAAACATCATTTTCCGTATTGCAGAATGGTGTAAAATATGCCATACAATTCCAACTCGTTGGAGTTTACTTCGTTCGATTTATTTTCCCCAACACATCATTTTACAGTCAGACGCTTAGGACCCAGCAGCGAGTGACAACATTGTACATGCTCGTCATCATAAGTACGTACAAATTTGGAATTTTTTAAAAAGGCCGTTTGTTTTTTTTTATTTCCCAAGTGTTGGGGACAGGGTACACGCCGTGACATTTTGTATCCGCCTATTCGCCGCCTTGGATGCAAATCGAATGTAACCAAATTGAACGAACAGGGCGGAACGTACCAAGCTGAACGTGAGAATGGGGGAAGCTCCTTTTTTTTAAAAGTACACACGCGCAGTATGGGTGTATATAAACGAAAGTTCCCTTTCATGTTCAGGTCAGCGCGAGCTGCGTAGCAAAATTGCGATTGACCCTGGGACAAGAAGGGACAAAGATAGCTGCTTTGAACTAAAGGTTCCATTAGTAAGCAAATTCTTCACGTCCATACTTACGTGCATATTTATAAAAAAAATCGCTACATCATTTAAACATACGCATAATACTCATACACATATATATATGCACGTACATGCGCTGCCCGAGCGGCTCAGTTGTGCTTCGCCTCGTGCGCAGTTACATGCACACGGAAAATATTATCATCCTTGCAGCTCGCGATAAACTATACCATTTGCGCCTTTCTGATCAAAGCGGTGAAACGCAGTGGGGAAAGGTGCATATATGGTATTGTACATACATCCGTGTGTGTATTGCGCATCAATTTCTCAGCAGGCGGCAATTTTTGGAATGCTAAAAAAAAAAAAAAAAAAAA